GGTTCCTGGGTTACAGACAAGTGGCAGGAGTTGTTGCTGGTTATAGGAACTGCTCAGGTTTGGGGGAAGTGTCTTCAGTATGGGATTCCTTTATGGAATTCCTTTATGGAATCCCAGTTGGTGGGCCTAGCTCAAGCCCACTGGTGTTGTTATCAGATGTTGGCTCCTTCTCAGTACAGCTATACCTGCTCACTTGATACCCAAGGGAGTAAAAACTAGGTGGCAGTGGAGCTCCTAGAACCCCTCCACAATGCACATGTCCAAAAGAATTGGCTTTGGTTTGGAAGGAATAAATGGGTATAAAGCACCAATTTTATCCCTTAAACACTTCCAGTCTAACCCACTTTGGGTTCAGGCTCCATGAACATTTAGAGTGTGATCTTCCCATTGCCACAAGAAGTCTAATATGGGTCTTGAACCTCCATGAGGAGGAATCTGTTGATCTAGATGCAGATGATGAACCTGAAATCTGGGGTGCTCTTGAGGCCCTACTGGAATCTGCGCCTTGGCAAATGCCTAGCCATTTTAATTCATGAATCTGACTTTGATCAAAGAGATCACCATGTGACAAGGAAGTTGTCCTTGCAAAACTATCAAAAGTATCCTCCACTTTCTGGAACCAGTGAACTATAATTTAGAGGCTCCTGCCAGCAGATCTAATGGTGAGGGATGCTGGGAAGTAAAAGTCAGCAGCATCAGAGGACCACACGATGTCGATCCCTAATCCACCGGATTTAAGCTAAAACACAGCTTTTAAAGAATCCTCTGGGGTCCCCCTGTATACCCTCTGAGTAAACTTCTATACAGCTGCTATCCTTGTCCTCTTTCTGCAATGGATTCACATTATCATATTAGTATTCCCATTTGCTGCTCCTTGGGGCTTGGGAGAATGAAAGAGGAGGAGCACAGAAAGGCCACCCAGCTGCCCAAGGGTGGAAAGGAAAAATTAGCACTTCAACCAACATCCTACCCCCACTCCCCCTTCTGCTTATCTATTCAGTATGTTTGCTTTTGTAGCAAGGAAGAAAAAAACCCACTGATTGTGCAGAACAGCAGTAAAGCCCCACGTACAGTATATTCTCTTCTATTGGCACTCCACCTCTCCAATTGTTCCTAAAGAATGGAGGGCCCCTGATAAAACATGAAGTTCCTTCCCCTTAGAAGGAAAGCGGAAATCCCAGTTGGAAGAGGGGAACTGAAGGACTTTTTGCCAATGGGAACCTGCCTGTCCTTCAGCTCCTTTTTTTAAATAGTAATTTTATTAAAAGTTACAGTTAAAAAGATAAAAACTAATACAAACTAAAAAGAAAAGAATAAAAAGAAAAAATAGAAAAATAGAAAAGAAAGAAAAAATAAGAATATACTAAAGAAAAAGAAAAGATATATAAAGAAATGACTTCCTCCGTCATCATAAGTATAAACAATTTTAGTAACTTATCATCTTCTCTTAAAATACCACAAATGATCTTTTCTTCTCATATCCCATCTCTTATCTATAAACAAATCCTTAAAGCCTCGTCATTCAGGCCTGATAAGCACAAGTCCATTAAGGGTTACCAGAGATAACATATCTATTTTAACCTTGATCAAATAAACCAAC